TGTGTGTGTGTGTGTGTGTGTGTGTGTGTGTGTGTGTGTGTGTGTGTTGTGTTTCAGAGAAATTCTGACATTTACCTAATGCACTAGCCGTATCGTGAGTGTCCATGCCTGGGTTTCAAACATCATAACGGGTTGTTATTACTCTTTAATTTTCATTAAAAAAATGCCAGACACCTATTCCAATTGTCTGGTCTTAAACTAGGGAATTCCCTGTACTATTACTATAATAGCAACGGAATTCACACAGGAGTTACTTCGCAGAACTAATTTTGGAAAGTTCATTTTCGTAGGTACCCGGGATCTCGGCACCCAGTGCCCACTGTGTAAACCTTTAGTCCACCGAGGTCGACTACTCTATATAATATCTGACCTTAAAAATAATATAACCAAAACAAAAAAGCTGTGTCTACTCTATATACTTTCAAGTAGATTGGTTGCGTGCGGTTTGTTTCACTTGGTGCAACCGGACATAACTAATGTAACAAACGGTAACAGATAGAGATCCGACGACGGCTAAACACGAATATTGCCGAGAGATGTTAAAAAAAGTTGTACAACACAACTGAATTAAAAACAACACTACGACAATTAAATGATATTGGATCATTGTATTTTTCTCTTTTGTTGACATAATTATGTAGGCTAGCATTTGACCACAATTTCACTTGGTGATGATGGAAAATGTTGCCTAGAACATACTTATTCATGATTATTGTTTTTAATATATTATATATTTAAAATTTTTACGACTACATGACATAAGAATAACTTACTATTATTACCACCTATTACTTATAAAACATGTAATTAATAACTCTATTAACATTATTACAATTCCTACAGACTTATAAAATGTGTAATGTAATAAAATTAAAAATTTGCATGCCTGTTTTGGTAAAATATGAAAACTGTTACTATATACCACTTTGTGAACCATATATAAAGTGGATATAAAGTGGCAAATAGATGTAAATATCAATGAATATCGTTTGTCCTAACTTCAAGTTGGACTAATGTCCAACACCGTTAAGCTCAAGCTATTAAGGGATTAGATCCCGTGTATAACTATCGAAAAGGGAATTTCCTATATTAATTTAACCGGGAATCCAAAGCAAGAGTAGTTTAATGAAATTTGGTATTTTCTTGTAATAGTTCCATAAATTATTATACTTTTAAAATTTTTGAAAATACGGTGGATGAAAACGAAGCTGCAACCGTGTGGGTTTAGGACTCTCATCATCGTCTACCTATTTATACCTACATCCCATTGCAGGGCACGGATCTCCTCTCAGGCAAGAGTTTAGGTTTTGGTTACATTACAGTGTTTTCCTTTACCGAAATACTCATGGTAAGTTTATAATAAAATTATGAAATTTTTAAAATTCATAAATTCCGAGAAACTTATGATGCGAGCTTGGATGCGAATCCAGGGTCTCAGCTTGAGAAGTGTTGTCAAGTACACAGTGTGTGTGCACACACACATACTCACGCACGCACACGCGCGCACGCACGCACACACACACACACACACACACACACACACACACACACACACGCACGCACACACACACACCCACACACACACACACATGTAACGGAGCAAGTACAAAGGACGTGGTGGATTGGCTTAAAAATAAAATTCTTACTTGATATATCGCTTTAGATCCCGTTTCAGAGCACATTTCCATTACTATTATAAGGAACAGGTGATAAAATATGCAATTTCTCATTTTAAAAACTAAATGTTTCCAATCGATAAAGATAAAAAGAAATAAGAATAGTCGAACTGTAAACGAGCACTGGATATCACTGCCTGCGAAAGAATAAAAAAAGTGACATTGACATGAAACTTTTTATTCAACTCTTCATCTTTAAGATAATAATATTTACTACAAAATGGTATTGTACTCATAACATGTGGAACGAGAAGTATAATAGTGTATTTTATTAAATAAGACTGAATAAACGGAACACTTTGTCTATTGTTTGATAATTATAACAGCGTAAAATTTTTCACGCGGTTCTTTGTCTTCCTATCTGAATTATATTATATTGCATGCAATGATATACAAAAAAATGAATGTATCTGAGTTGAATACATTGCGAGATATGTTTTCCTTTCAAGTCATTAAAACAGCATCGAGCAAAGAGAAATTAGAAAAGCTATTGGGAATCATAAAATAGATGTCATAAAATGACATGAGATTTAGTTATGAGTACTTATTGTATGGCATGATGGCATCTGTACATTTCTAATATTATATTGAACTAAAACTAACTAACTAATTATTATTACACGCACCTGGTGAAGACAGACCCAAATGACACATGTCGAATTAATAGACTGTCTGAAACCAATCCCTGTTGGTATCCGTTGGCTGGTGTTGCCCCTCCGGACGTTCGCAGAGACGTTTCAAAAAAAAGGCTGACCAGTGGCACTCATTACATCATCACATCCCAGTAATTCAGAAGCTAAAAAGTCGCCATAGCAGTGTTAAAGAAGTGTACCCTCTGGACGGGGAAACTAACCAGGCCCGAATAAGTCTCTGGAAGGAGAGATACTCCACGGTATCACTAATCCCGCCATCGGAACACCTCCCCCCTGGGCATGATCTACCCTGGCAAGCTTGGTCCCTAAATAGGCTGCGGACCCAAGTCGGTCGAAGCAAGGTCGGTACATGCACGGGTGGGGTTATAGCTCGGCGAGCGCATGTGTGTGTGGTATCTGTCCCCAGACAATGCCTCATCTTTTGTCCTGCCCTGCGTGACCCTACACCTGCACACGCGAGGACCTGTACAACTCCGCTGATAATGCTATCTCAGTTGCTAAGTACTGATTCTCCAAATATAAACGTCAGAGTCGACACGCCAAGAAGAGAAGAATATTATTAAAGCACTGTTATCATTTCCGTGTAATACATTTATAGTCATCATTATCAAACTTAAGAGTTATACTCTTGTCGGTGGAGCCTCTTACAGTCATCTCTCCTACCACAGCCAGCTCCTTGACCTCCTTATACGACACGACATCGGCCATTTCCTTTTCTTTGGTCTATGTAACTTCAGCTACATTTATAATACTCATGTGAATTTCGGTCTATAGGAATACCTACAGATCGATTCATAATAATGAATGAATGCATGATTTACTCTTTATTGCACATTAAATTACAGTGGCAACGTAGAACAGTAACTTAAGTATAAAAATGGTAAGTTCTTCCATGTGACCTTAAGATAAAAATTTGGGGTGAAAGAAACGAACTAAGTTTAGAACAACGTGTGCAGACACAGCTTTTGTAGGAGCATGGGAAATCACAGAGATTCTAAGACTGAAAATTTTCGCGTCGATCTAATGCTGTTGAGCCATTCGGCGTTAGTGTCTGAACCTAATACCACTATCAGATCCGCTAACTGTATGTGTATATACACAGAATAGGGTGCAAACATAGAACTATGGCGCAAACCCGTCACCACAGATCGCGAAGTCAGAAACTGGAAAAACCTAAAAAAAAATTAAGAGATTGATTTCTGCTTGTGCCACTCGAAGAAAGCTTCAGAAAGCTGACCTGTAATGCGGTAAAGCCAGGATGACACCATGGCTCTTAAAAAATAACAATCATTGCATTAATTTTTGTAATGACTTTCTCTTTTCAGCAACTGTACTCATATATAACACATTAATTTCAACCGAAGATTTTCAGTTTATAGTTAAAGTTATCAAATCCATAGTGTCACAGCGCCTTTGTGTTGCATTTTATAGATATATACATATCTTTGTACTTCTTTTTTCCTTGACGCTCGTCGTGAAGACTTCTTTAAAGTGCCAGACTTTAGTTAGTGGTTCCTAAAAGAAACTATGACGTTGTCTGTTAATATTTTCTCAACCATCTTTGTATTTAAACTTTTTTCAGATTGACTGGCTAGAAATTCAATTCTTTTTTTCATGGTACGAACTCATAGCAGTTACAGTGCTACGCAGAGCTTTAAATCGCAAAGATTTGAGGGGCACTGCCATTGCGCCCGTTAGCAGATATAATATATTATAATTATCATAATATACCAATTAGCGGTGCAGGTCTCGTATATACCACATGCTATGTAATAACAATGTTTTTATATCACTGTTTTGCTATGAGTGACGAAGCAAACAAAAGGATAAATTCCATAGATTAGTATTAAATTGTATGGGTTTAGAGTGCCCGCCTTCCCGTCCGCCAAGCACATGGTTTATTTAATAGTACTCCGACTCTAGAGAGGCCCTTGGCGCTTAGCGGTAGTGGCGTAAACTGCTGATGTGCTTGTAGTAGAAAAAATTGAACTGAAACCACATAATAGCTGCTTAAAACTTTCTGAAGTAAAACGCCAATTGCAACTCAAAAATTTATTAAGGATTCTAAATAAATTTTGTAAAGGAGTAGTATATAGTCAATAAGTAATTTTATAAAATATAAAATTTTGATCTATGGGGGTTTGCAGAGAAAAGTTTTGTTAATATTGAAGAATCAGTCTTCGAGTCCACAAAACAAACGCCGCTCTGGTATATATGGAATATAGTTATATTTTGAAAAGTAATACTACTCTAAATACATAGCATTTATGTTGTGTCCCATTATGTTCCATTAGCTTATAGAATTATGACGTTTTCTTCTTAGTGCAGCGCAAATTTAGCGGCTAAATCCATTCTTCGCGTTTACAGGAAGATGGCGTGTTTCGGGTCCTTCTCGTGGTAGCATTTGACATAGTTCCAGGCGGTCTGCTGAGGAGTGTTGCCCTTGTTGGCAAGGCAGGTGTCAATCAGCTTCTCCACCTGGGGCTTGTCAGCTGTGAAGGTATCAAACCATTTACAATACACTCCGTTGTTACTATTGTTTTTATTTCATCTCTCTTGCAGCAAGCATTAGCGTTAAACAATAAATATGAAGTTAAGAATAAAATATAATTTAGCGACTGCAATAAGTCTTCTACACTGACTCACCAGCGTTAGGTACTTTAGCCATAGCAACGTCTTTCTTGAATTTGCCATCCTTGGTCATGAGTTCGGATTTTACCAACATGCAGTGTGCGTATTTCTTGAGGTCCTCATTATCGGTCTGTAAATAAAAACTTAGTGTAATACTCGTTATTTGCGAATAAATGTAGCAGAAATTGTAGTCGGTCAACAATAGTTTCGTCGGGAAGTAAATTCGTTTATATGAACCCGTCTTATTTATTGTACTCTATGAGCGTGTAGGTAACAATGTCTAAAATAATTTTAATAGTTCCACGTTTATAGTGTATTACTGCTTATCGCTAAAAAAAATTTGAAACATTTTACTAAATCGCTTTTGCCAGGCAAATATCCAATAACAATCGCATACTATGCAATAAAATAAAAAGTAGATATCCCAGCCGTAACATAAAGTAAAAGAAGGTTTATATTAATGCTATAAAATAATGGAATGATTTTGGCTAATACGTGATATTCTTTAATGTGTTAATAATGTAGTAATCAATTCTCATTTTGCCGATCGCTGAAAATATATATTTTTTAATGAATAAAACTAAAAATATTGTGAAAAACACTTATCAGATGTATATACGGAGCAAGAAGTTTTACAAAATGATCAGATTCACAGTACAACAGTAACATAAATGAATTATGGGAGCTAAATACTAGCTAAGCTTCGTGAGTGTGATATTTTTAAGGCGTAAGGGTTTAGCATACCTTGAAGTCGCCACTCTTCAGCTTGTTGACCAAGTTCTCCTCGGCCTTGCTCTCGGTCAGGCACTCAGCCCTATGCTTCTTGAGCTTCTCTTTCTGCTCGTCGGTCAGAGCCTGGAGGAATAACAAAAAAAAAAACACGTTAAAAACATAAAAACATATTTGGAAATATTCTGCCGTTCGCTGACTGAAACTGTGGCTAAGAGACAAAATATTTTTTTGAGATATCATAAAAAACCATAACCCATATTGAAATTTTTTAATGATATTTCCGCTATGCATAGCTAGGGTAAGTTCCGATAAGTCGAACAAGTTAACTAATTTTAACTGTTTTTAAAAGATAATTTTGTGGTCTATTTTTTGCTATTTAAATCGAATATTTGATCATTTGTCACTGAACCGCGTTTGAGTTAGTGGACTCGATTAGTTTTTAGATTTGATTTTTTCAAAATTTTAACAGAGGTAAAGGTTCATATTAAATATTAAAATAGTTATACACTACTATGATGCTCAATACCGAATACATAAAAACGTGATCACTAGTATAATTATTTTAAATACGTTTGACTATAAAAAGCCCTGTACCAATACACCTAGCTTTGGTAAAAAAATACTTGTATCTCATTAAATATGTAAATTTACCCCAATATTAATAAACTGGAAGAGTCTGTGTAGAACAAGATTCCAAAAATAAAAACAAAACGACATGGAAAAAATTAAAAACCCATTTATCTGAGTGGGATCTTACCTGAGCCAGGACGAAGCACACAGCGAGGATGAACAAAGTCTTCATGATCGTAGTCAGGATGCGTACAGTGCGAAACAGTGTGCAACGAATGCTTTTCCTCCCACAGGGGCCTTCCTTATATAGGGAGAGGACCGAACCTGTAATTCGTATATTGACAATAACCGCTGCGGGGTTAGTGCTGAATTAACAGAAATCGCCAACTTTTGGTTCGGTTCAATGATTGTGTAGTAAATAACCAATATTTTTTACTTTTATTATATAATCACTGGTATCATATGTTTAAAACAATATTTTGGCAACTAATACATCATTTATGCATGTAGAGTTTCTGAAAAAATATGTATGTAAGCAAATCTGTTGGATGCTTTAAGAGACATCATAAAAAACTAATTTTTTCAAACTAATTTTTTCATTATCCGGACTAAGGTCCTACATAATTTGAAAAAATTAGTATCTTGCCTACTTTACGTCTAGGCATTGATTTTTGTAGGAAATATCAAAGAAGTAAGTAAATCAACAAATTATTATATTAATAAAATAACATTTATATAAAAAAGACGTCCTCGAAAGTTTGCGGAATACATCTTTTTGTCAAGTTTTATTGATATCGGTCAACGGAGAGTGGGTGAAATCTGATAAATAGAACTTATCCCCTAATTTGCCACCTTTACAGATGGAATATTGTATCCAAATTTAAATGGGACCACTACTGAGGTACCTTTTTTTCAACAAATAAAAATCATCGAAATCGGATCACAAATGTCAATGTAATCGCGTAACATACACTGAAGAAATAAATACTATGAAATTGAAGACCTCTTCTTTTTGAAGCCGGACATAAACACTTTTATATTTTTATGTATTTATAGATGATCTATATCTATCTAGAGAATATATTATAAAAACGTGGATAGTATCTATTACCTTATCGATGAATATCAGCTACCAATGTTTATGGCTGTCTAATAATACTAAACAGGATGCGACTGCTCCAAGGATGCTCGGCCCGACATCCTTTTCCATAATAATAAAATAAATATAAAATCGTATTTATTTAACAAGCAAAGTACATTAGAAAAACAGTAGAAAAAATAGGAAATCAAATAATAATAGCAAAAAAAGTTAAAACAAATAAGCAAAAAAAAGAATGTCAAAAAGGTCCATGACTCGGCATTTGAGGACTATGCTAATTACGTAGCCCTCAGTGATATTCTGCCATGGCCTGTCGTAAAAATAGAATACTATAATAAAAAATAATAATACAAATAATATCAACCTTCGTGAAGTTCTGATTCAATCCCTATGTAATGCCATACCTAGTCAGTTTCGTTAAACCAACACCCAGTTACAATAGAGGTCAATAGAGGTCGAACTACTGCCAGTTTTCTATTTCTGCCACCAAGCAGTAATATGAGCATTACTGCGTTCCAAAGGGTAAGGGTGCTGGTGAAAACACAGGCATATAGGACATGTCAACCTTGTCTCGGGGTGACGGGCTTAATGGTAATATCCCTTATATATTTGTGATTTAAAGCTCTGAGTGGACGCTATTATGGACAGGCGTGTCGATTTCGCTTACTAACAAACGTATTACTTGTTTGTTCGTCTCTTGATATCATGATCATAATAAACATCTTTGATGTCGTTCCCATATAATAATTTCTTAAAAATATAAATGGTGTTATGTTATTATATATATTAAAGCGTCGTAACCTAAGAAGTTGTCAACCTCTGTCAGTCAATACAGCGTGGGTTGGTCTGGAAATATCCGGGCGAAGCTTATATGATGGACCTCTCGACCGGCAGTTCCAACACATTAGGTGATATTTTGTTAATGTATAACTTTGACTTGACCTACAGAGTGGACAATACGGGCATTACACGAACTATGGTGGACGTTGCTAAAAGGTCAAATAAGATATTGATATTTGTAATACTCCTGTTTGAACATTGTCAACATTTCAGAGGTGCAGTTTTTTATTACAAATTTTATATTTTTAAGCTTTATTATTTATTTCTACATTTGAATAAAACAAATGTTAATACATCCTCTCTATATAAGTTGGATTGGTGATATACTTATTTTTAACCGACTTTAAAAAAGGAGGAGGTTCTCAATTCGTCTGTATGCATTTTTGTGTGTACGCGATTACTCCGACATTTATAACCCGATTTTCATGATTCTTTTTTTTTGGAAAAAGGATACCTTAGTATTGGCCTCATTTAAATTCGAAGAAAATATTTTGCCTCTAAGAGTGATAAACTAGAGGATGTTTCCGGTTTTACACACTTTCCTGTAACCGATTTTAATAAATAATAATAATAAGGCACACACTCAACATAGCCCGGCTAAGCACTAGGGAAACCCTTAGTCGCGGGAGCCATGGACACACACACAGACAACCAATTACATCCAAACTCACGAGAGAAATAAATGTAGGCCATACAAATATTTCTCCCGGCTCGGGAATCGAACTAGGGACCTCTACGTAGCAGTCCAGCATGGAAACCGTTCGGCCACAGAGGCAGTAAATTAAATTTGGTACAAAACAGTTGAAGTTACACTTTAGTACTAAAATTATCAAACGAAGGAAAACTACTCGAATTCATACCATTTGAAGGAGTACCCACGAGTAAAGTAAAGACACATAAATCGCCTAGTGTCGAGCGTTCTCAAATCAGCCTAACTGATAAATTGCAAGTGGACAATCAGTTTAACTACATAATACAATAACCGGTCAGACGGGCCTGGGGCTTGACATCATTTACTTATTGACATAAGTACGTTCACCCTTTTGTCCACTTAAATCTGTGAACAACAACATTATCCTATCAGTTGCTACTATTGAAGAAAATCAGCGCATCTTCTAGAACGCTGCAAGCCAAACTAGTCTTTATAACAAAGTGTTAGTAACAAAATCAAGATGTCTTATTATTAAAGATTAAAGAAACGCCAAAAATCTAATAATCACTTTATAACTGAAGCATTGGTGTAGTGTGTTATGAAGCAAAAAATGTTTGAAATCTTTTTCCTTGTCTTGAATCGAATAAAAAACAAAGAAATCGAAAAACCACCAACCTGCCCGAACAGTGACTGGCAAAAATTGAAGATGGATTTGTCGAATCAGCAGGCTAGGCAATGATTGATGGTTCACCATCCCCAAACCAGTGATGAAATGAGCAAATATTATGTCTGGAGTTGCAGATGGAAACTGAACTTAATTCTGCGATTTGGACAGAAAATAACACACTGTTAGTGTTTCAACACCGGAGGGCAAAAATTTAAGTGTAATTGGAGCTCTTTACAATCGTTGTGTATTTTCGTGAGGATATTTTCTGAAGTCCTAGGAACGAATTGTCTTCACCGTGTATTATTTTACTCTAGAATAATTAAACTTTTTCATAAAAAGAACCGACCTCTAAAGTTCGTGGAATGACATCTATTTGCCAAGGTTTATTGGAATCGGTTACCGGAAAGTGCGCCAAACCGGATTCATCTCCTACAAAACACAAAAAAATACAGTCCATTGAGAACCTCCTCCTTTTTGAATCGGTTAAAAACTGTCTTTAAAAAAGTAACGAATTTTTATAAAGTTCATCTTTTGAAAAAAAAAACTGTCAAAACGAATTTCACTATTCAGAAAAATATTATCTTCTATGTTGCGTCTGCACACACATATTTTATTTACGTAATGAATATATAGAGTTCTATCTGAGGACTTCGATTATACTTTGTTTTAAATTTAACAACGTTGCTTTAATACAAGCATCGTAAAAACTCCTGCACGAGACAAATATCTGATGTGTAAAGTACTATTGTACTATTGAAGTCCGTCGTATCGGTTGAAAGGAGTATTGACCGGACCATATTAAGGCGGTTATGAGATGGAGAGAATATTCCAATATTCGCTCTACAGAGATCGCGACAGATAGACGGTGGAATAAAAAGAGGATAGCTCTGTATTTGCAATGGTATTAGCCAATAGAAAATGGATAAAATTACCTCAACATATAAGAGAAAAGTATTACACCTACAAAATGGAAAAATCATGGGGATATCAAGGGCACAAAGTATAAAATTTAAAGTTTGAATACTGGGTAAACTTTTAAGCATGTATTAAGAACAAGTATGTACATTATAGAAAATCTGGTATTAAAGAGAAACAAAGAAAATGTAATGAAATTTTTATTATCGACTTAATAACTGCAATAGAAAAAAGTCGATGAAAACGGTGCAAACCCAGTGAATATTACAGGAACTTTGGCAGTACATAGCGCATGCGTCTTGAGCCTTAACATTAAACGTAAACTTTGCCCAAATGTGGATCGTCTACTTAACAGAACACATGGACAATTCAATAACAATTGAACAGATTAATATAGATAAGTAGGATCTTGAAACTGCTAACTCTTGAAACTGAAATGTATGAGTGTGAAATGGGAAAAGCGATCAAGAAAGTTTTAAAAACTGGTAAGTTAACAAAATTTATTTTCATTCCTAGAAATGCTGAAAAGTTCCTTTTTGTCTTCATTTGTTTTGCTGCAGTAAATAAAATCTGACCATAAATATGTATGTGAAAATGGGCCAAAGTTCAGAACAACAAAAAATTGGATCTTAAACTTCGCCGATAAAAGAGATCGAAATAGGTGTCAATTTCAATTCAAATTCCTTAAAATGTAGCTATATAAATTATTTCAGTGGCAGTATTCATATCTGTTAGACCTATTTGTATGTATTTTATAAAATGTTAACAACGATTCTCAAGCAATATAATGTAAAACAACCTTTCTTTACGTGTAATACATTCGTTTAAAATGTTTAGAAAGATAAATTGTGGCGTACTAACTAGAATATCGTGAACTAGTCAGGTGACGTGATTTATGTCTGTCTGATATATGTAAGTCACTTATTTGCGATATACTCGTAGAACACAAATGTTCCGTCGTTTTTGCTGTACCTTGGCTGAACGTAGTATCGTATGCATTCGGAAGTTTTAATTTTCTTATCGAATTCTTAGGTTTTCGCGATTGTTACACATAGGAAATTAAACTATTTTTCCGGATTGAAATCGTGTATATTTGTTTTTTCAAACAAACCAACGTTTCGGGCCCTTTACAGGTGCCATGGTCACGGTAGACTGAATTTCATTTTCTTTTTGATAGCTTAGTACATTCTCATAATTCATGGCCTGTGACCTATCACAAAAACGAATTTCTTTCTTCTGAATTTTATTACTCCAAAAATGGTGCGACTTTTTTTCATTAGTGCGATGACAGTTTTGGTATAAATTTGCAACACAGAAATGTCTTCCAGCAGAAGTATCGTTTGTCCGAAAACCTATTAATAAAATAATTATTACACATATGTATTATTTGGGCAGAAGTTTGTTTGGTTTAACTATGTTTGTTATACTGTCTGTTTTCCATATAGTTTAGATATCTGAAAATTTGTTTTGACAAAATTATTATTCTTAGATAAAATTCTGGGCTGTGCTTTCCTGGTGCACAGCATGTCCACGTTTATAATTTTCGTCATACCATTGTGCTATGTTTTTGCTGTCATCTGAAATGTAATTTAAAAACAATGGTCTTGAGTATTCAATAAATAAAGTACCAGAAACGAATATGTTTGCGTTTCCTAGTTAGGTCGACCCTTCTGTGTGTTTTGGTTAGGTTAGTACATGAAAAAGCCGCTCGAGCTGAGCGTGTGAAGCGAGAGTGCCGCAGCAGCGTTCGGCGAGCGCCAGAGCCGATTTTTTTTTTGCATTACTTAGACGATATGACCCTCTCCTGTAGGTATAGGTTAGGTTAGCATATGAAAAAGCAGCACGATCCGGACGAGCGAAGCGAGCGACAACAATTCGATCAAATAAACTTGCATCTCGTTTACCATATTTTTTAAAGATGCGAAGTGCTTTAATTTGACGAGTTGCATTGTGCGACACGTTCTAATACTGTTAATATCTGTAATAAGAAATAATATAACAAAAATGTATCATGGATATAGTTTTGTTATAAAATTTTAATATTCAATTAGATACAATAGTCAAACGATTTGTTGCGGAAATAAAAATCGGGAAAAAAATAACTTGTCAATATGTCAAAATAGTGAAACATTAAATGGTGTAATGAAAAAAACCGTAACGTGTTTTCCAACAAATGAAACAAAATCTATTCAATAAAAGACTAAAGGTTTTCGGAGAAACAAAATTCTGTAAATCATGTTTCTAGCTTGTGAGAGATAACCTTCATGGCTACTTTGTTGTTTTTCACTACTTACTTCCATTTTTTTTTCTCACAAAATTGTGTGTCATATCCGTATTTATAAAATTAACATTAGATCGTGACAACACCCGATTATATTTACATTTAGTCCACAAATGAAGAATATTTGATCTAATTTTTAATAATAACTATACGCGGGTTTCAATATATAGATAATCTGTTCTTCTTTTGTATCGTGTCGGCATTCAGTATAATCCTTGCCACTGTGGTGAAAGGATTTGCCAATTGGTTAAGGCACTCGCCAATTGTTGTCCAGGATGCGCCAGACGTATTGTGGAAAGGAATTACATCACGTGAGGAGACTCCTTTCGTGCACATCAGTCCAGATGACGTCTAACTACACTATACTAGTTACAATTATAGAATTGAATAGAATATAATTATTTATTTCAGGCATAGACTCGAATAATTTGTTAGTACATTTTCACTTAGAATAGATTAGTATATAGAATACAACGACACAACATAATATTTATTTAATATATATAAAAACAGATTTGATTTGCCCAACCCAGTGTTTTAGAATTGGACAATCAGATCTGCCTGCAACCATTTTTAGGATGCTGTTGTGGCTACTTCTGACACGAGCCATAAGCGATACTATTTTCGTCCGCATTCTCGCTTGGAACTCCCTACTTGCGCTTCTGCGAACATGCCTGATGCACTGTACCATCTTGGTAGTCCCAACAGCATCCTGAAAACGCTATTGTATTGAACGAGTAGGGCGTTGCAAGCTCGTTTCGTATACTTAAACCAAAGGCCGCTCGAGTAAAATGATTGGCTGTAAACTTTGAATAAAATAATTCTAACATCGATAGAGCATCTTACGAACCTGCGGGCCAGCATAGTGCATCTCACCGACAACGCTCTACGCTCCCTATCTATATCTATGATACATTTTCATAGAAAAAGGAATGCCAAATTATTACTTATATATACTTCTTTCCAATTACTTAACTAGGTGCATTAACATGTGTAGCGAATTCCGTTTGAGTTTGAGTGGTTCCGTATCTCAAATTCTTTTAGATTTTTTACAGTTTTAGATGCTTTAATTAATAGTAAAAGTATCTACCGTTTATCACAAAACAACCGAAACAGAAATAATAGTCAATAATAAGAAAAGGCGCCGAAAACAATCACATTTAAATTTAGAATTTAAATATACAACTAAACTTAAAAAGACTTTACAAAAGAGATTTGTAGCGACTGCTGCGATTCGCTACATCGCTTTTTTAATAATATTACAGCAGTTCTCAATTTCCACCATGTATTAAAGCGGAGATGATTATTTTCAAGGAGCGCCAATGTGTGCGGTATCTTAGTATCGGTATCGTAACAGGTTTCATTCAATTCAATTTAAGACACAAAGTTTACAGGCTCCTCGCTGCCGCATAAGAGTTATTCTGTTACCAACATATCATTGAAGATGAACATTTCTATTCCGTTTCTAAGTTATCCATGATGCCCATGGGTACAAAATCTTCTTCGTCCTATTATCCGTGAAATTTTTAACCTATCGTTATGCAGAAAAAAATGTTTTTAGTTCTAAAACCTAACGTATCTGTTGTGCCCGTTTTGCCGAGTTTTCAATTCACGCAAAGTTTCTAGTTAATAAAGACCTATGTAACATGATTTTTAAAAACATTTAAAATATAAATACAAGTTTTATTATTTGTTATGAAGAAAGGTCCGATCAAGTTTATGACAAATAAACTAAATGAATACGAATTTCCATTTCAATATTTCTCTGTTTCACTTTCACCCTGGTACTTTTTTTTTGTAAAATTCCATACAGCATGAAAGTATAAAGACAAGTATTTTGATATTTTATTGTCCAGTATATAATATTTTTATTGTATTATTGTCACAGAAAACCACTGACAGTCATACAATCGTTTTTGAACAAAATTATAAGCCTAGTTATAAACACGACAATACCTATTAAACAATATTATTTTCTTATTAGTTTTACTGAATAGGAAATATTTTATGTCATTAATTATAAAATTGTCAAAATCCAACGTTTAAAGTAAGCGATATTCAACCTTATTGCAAAAAACGACAACTTCAAGCATACAAAACCCCGCATTGCGCAGCCAATAACGCGGCAACTTCATACCAGTCCAGTCAATACACAAGGGGCTCTAAAAGTAGAAGCAACAAAGCCAAATATTTTTATTCACATTCCCCATGACAATATTTCATATCTTCACTATTAGCACAATAAGCATAATCATGTTTAGTTATAATATTTCAATTGATTAAATTACGAGTATTAGTTTTATAGACGTCATAGTGGAAAATAAATTGTTGTGACTGGTAAGTTATCAAACTGTTTGGCTCGATTCTTTTAGTTTTGTACAGTAAACTGGGAAAGCCTTTGTTTTATTTCATAGTTGTAGTCAAGTATAATAATATATTAATTTTTATTCAATTTTGTGTTATAATACACCCTTCCTTGTCGCTGATTGAGTTCAAGGATAAGGTTCCAATTATAGACAGAAAACAGATTCATAAATAACTTATGACAATTACGGTAGTATAGCCTTCTTCTTACCTTGTTTGTCAATGCTACTTGAACTTACGTCTGTTTCAAGGCATGGTCATGAACAAGTGCAGAATAAATGTATAGGCTACCGGCTTACTTACATATATATCGGCAAGTGTTATTATTTAGCATATTTTGTCAACAGTAATGGAACTGTATGTTATTTTTGTTCAGTTTAAAAATGCTGTGCGATAGATTTTTCGATAAACGACAAATGATCACACATTATTATATTATTATATATATTAACCATTAATCAATATCAAACAGTTGTGTCAATCGTTTTTACATTTCCAGTTATTGATTAAATAATGTTGTTAAGAAAATAAAAAGCTGCGTGGGAGACAAGATCAGATAAAAGAATGGTAAAGTGTTATAATTTCTGAAACGGAGCAGACCGTTTAAATGCATGATATATTTTGAAAAGTTCGACCACTATTTTATTATTTCCTCATCATCATTATCATTCAGCCGAAAGACGTCCACTGCTGGACGTATTCATGTATAAAGCGAATTAATGTATATGTCGAAAGCGTGCTATTTACTACTATTTAAGGCTATATTTACTTATGCAATATTATTTGATTACATTTCAAAACAAAAATTAATCAAGAAATTAATTTGCATGTCAACAATTTACTGGTATTGCCATTAGGACGTTGACATCAATAGTGTATAAAACAAAAGGTATGTAGGTACCTACTACATTCGGTCTTGCCTGCACTGCGTCCGATCGATCGCGCTACTGCGCAGGCGTAATACACCCTTATATACGTCAGTGGTGGAACGGCGCGGGCCGTCGTAAGTCTCCGACATGCCGAAACCAACGCCAGTTGAGGACTTAATAATCCCTCCACAGGATCAGAAAATATGTGGAACAATATGCGTTTGTCAGATGACGGCAGTGCTCAGCGCCGTCGCTATAGTTTACCTTACCGTCGCCATATACATGCCCTACACCCGTGCTATCGCCTCAGGAATTGACCCCACACCTATTATGTGCACCACAACTAGGGCTGTGAATAAAGATAATTGTGATTGGGGGTCGTGTGGTGAATGGTGTCTCAGCAAAACCTCGGGAGCATGCATCCAGATCTATGTAAATGTAAGAAAAAATGGCTCGTCTTTGTTGCTGTCAGAATGTGGGAGTGCTGCGAATAAAACATGCTACGGAATCGATCAGGAAAATGCAAAGAAATATCATTGCATTAGGGACGAGTGTCGTAATTTAACAGGTACATTCAATTGCACTGAAGGAAAATGTATTAACATTACAGACGCGTTTGAATGTGCTTTTAGAGAAACGGACCCACCCTTGAAATGTTCTGGAAGAAGAGGGAAAATAACATGTATTGACGTGCATGGATTGTTTTCCTGTAATAGAGGCACTTGTAGAAAAATACGAACACCTTACAATTGCGATCGTCGCTGTGTGGACATACCAACCCGTAACAAAAATGTGATAGTTTTGAGTGGGGACCGAGTTTTCTTAGCGAAGTGTTCAAAACTAGCGCAGGAAACAGGGGGAGATGTAGTATGGAATGACAATGGAGAAGAAGTGCTTATGTTGTCTTGTCATGCCGTCCACAATGGCACTAATGGAGTGGTTGCTATTGATTGCATAAACGCAGCTTTATTGCCACGAACGGAGATATCGGACCTCACAAATTTCACATACCTACAGTATTTGTACCTTTCAAAGGCCACACCTAATCGCTTGATTGCTCCCTCTGAAGTGGAACTCACTTTAGCCAACGACAGCCGGTTGATGATTAATTTAGAAGGATGTGTAAATACTCTTGCTGACGAATGCAAAGAATTCTTAAAAGATTATGGCCGTGATGGCACCGATCATAATGCTAAAGCACGTTTTCCTTGCTTCTATACCGAAAACAGCCCAGATTACGTTGTAGCAAGGTTTGATTTAGACGCCACTTATCGACAGTTTTTGGTGGCGTTAGTGCTTCCTACAGTTTTGGTTGTAGTTTCGTGTATAACTCTCATGCTGTGTCAAAGAACGGTGGAAGTCGGTGATGATGCTAAAATGAGGTTCAAGGGATGCGGCACTGGACAGGCTGAGATGCAAATGTCACCAAACGATCCTGTTTCTCCACTCTGAGATCAGTCACGTGAGCACCTGCTTTAAACTGTTAATTGTACTTGTATAATTTTAATTAAAACAGTAATAAATACGCGGCTGCAAAAATGTCAAATTTTTGTATAAATTTAATAAAAAATTTAAATATATGTGTATAATTATAAATAAATATAAATATATACACACAGTTCTGCATTTTATACCCGTTGAGGGTATGGAAGTAAGGTATATTTTTAATTTTTACTGTTGAAGTAAAAATTAAAAACACAAAAGTGTTACAACCTTGACACAATAATGTCGTGACGTTAGTATGCGTTAGTGTTACCGCAACAGTTCTAGCTAAATGAATACATTATTGACGTGTTTGTTGAAGGTGTTACTAAAAGGCGCAAAGTATTTTTAAGAACATCACATTTGCTGCTTTTGCGTTATCATTGGTGCATTATCGTGCACAAAGTAATTATATATAGGTACATTATTTCTTTCATCAATCTAGAATTGCTTTATTTATTTATATGATGTTTTTATTGTTCCAGGCGTTCCCCTCCTTTGTGAGGGCCCGGCTAGTTCACTAAGAGACGACTAAACTGTTAGCATGCTTACAACCGCTTGAAATTCATCATGTCTTCGAGCATGAGCAGATCTCGAGCCAGCCTCTCCCCGGCTGCATCCGAAAGGTCAACGTTGCCAATGGGTGCGTCGGCCGAGCCGGGGAGCCCCGAGTTCAAACCTCTAGAACCAACAAGAGAACAGCTGTTGTCCCACTTTTTTGAAAGATTTAAATTCTACACGTCACTGTGTCTGGGGACATCGGCAATTCTAGCTGTATTTGCATTCCTTTTTCTTATCCCATTTGTGGTAGAACCAGCAATACAGACCATACTAGCAGAATTTGTTCCAGAAGCCGGGATATGTGCTGTTTCAGAACATGTTCATGCCGAAACACTGACCAACTGTAGTTGGGCATCGTGTAGGGAAGGTTGTACAACTTCGCATACTAAATGTCACAAAATCCGGGTAAACTTAACTAGAAGACCTTTTGTTGAAGGCGCAAAAGTGCCAACGGACTGGGATGAAACTGATCTAAGATTTCTTATTAATCCTGAAGGCTGTGGTTATCCTCCAAGAGTAAATTGTTCAGTATTTGCAAACGATTACGCTGGACCAAAGGCACCAAAAATATTTCCTTGTTACTACAGTTTGACAAGACCTGATTTGGTAGTAGCGAGATATTCATGGGAGTCAACTGTCCGAGGACTAATACTGGCCTTGGTATTGCCCACGTCTGTCTTCGTCTTCAGTTTGAGCGTGCTCGCTTACTGGCATTGTCGTTGCTGCGACAAGGCCTGCAATAGGCGTGTTCACGCGGAATCGTACGCTAGTAAAGAAGAGTAAGTATTACACCGAATTGTTTTTATGCTATTTTTAGCTTACTTCCTTGTAAAAGTACATTTTCAGTATGTCGTAGTGTTATTCAAATTTCCATTCCTTAGGAGATTCATGTTAAGTACTGGACTTTCAGGTCCGATAGCGATTTCAAGTTTGGTGATGGAACGTCGTAGTTACTACTATAGTTGTAATGGAACTAGTACCTAATATTTACAAGTACGTTTTACATTAGACAATTGCACTTTACTGAGTGAAGTACCTACTTATCTGTCTCTCAATTTCTATTTCGTATTTTCACTTGTATCAGCTGGTCTAAATTCTACATCTTCGTTTCCGCCTTAGAAATAGCGATATCTTTTTAAGTCTAAGACATTTGATATGCTTGAAAACCGAATATTTAAAGATAATCGTGACTGGCAGAAACATTGTAGTGTCTTCGTAAAGAACACATTGCATTAGTCGATATCTGCTATTCCAGTTGTAGTGCAAATGCAATGCACGGCTCTCAAATTTAGTAGATCTTCAAAATCTAGATTTTCTTCCAAAGTATATATATTTATTCCTACTAACTAATACTTAACATGAATGGAACGTTATTTATTTATATATGTTTACTTATTAATTTTCATTTTTAATGTAGATAATGTATGTAGGTTTAAATTAAAATTTTATGTTATAATTCTAAAATCATAAATTAAATGCACTCTATTTACACTCAAAAACAACATAATAGGTTCAAAATAATTTTAGTTATTCGTTAAAAAGTTCTAGATTATTTATAATTCCGTGATTATGTTGCTACTTACACAGCTACAGTTACAGTTAGTAACATTTAGGTTTATTTCAATCCTAAACAGATGAGAAAACAAATGTCAAGCATTTTTGAAAAACAAAATAAACATCAAATATTAAGCGACAAATTATAGGGAGAGATTATATAGACAAGCTAGGCGTTCATTTACTCATTAACATTCAATGAATTGCTCGATCACAACAAATAATAATTTTATTATTGTATGCAATATTTTGATTACTATTCTTAAAATTGTGAATTCCTGTCAAAGAAAATCATTTAGTACTTTTTCCAAATCACATTTGTGTAAGTGTCAATTGATACTAGTAAATAAGATTAAAATATAAGTAGCCTACAAGCACAGTCCGTCATTATACTGTGTGCTTACAATGTCTTATAAAATGGAGATATTTTGCTGCATATGTATGTGCAGCAAATTAATGTTTACGTAAAAATAAATGTTTGGGTAAAAGCAACGCTAGACTTGGTTCTAAATGACGTCTTACTTCTTTTTGTTGACTTCAAGAACTTCTTCTTCAGAACTTCTTTCTTTTTTTCCGTTCCTATTGTCTTGTACCATCAGTTTTTAATGTTGTATTGGTAGGTCAACGGCTGACAGCCATTAGCAACCTCTTAAAAGTTTTGATAATTGTCTATGCCTAATTAGGCATAGACAATTATAATTAATAAAAATAATTAAATAACGCCTTTGGCGTTCTCTATAAAAAAATAATGCATATATTATACTACGCACATTGTAATCTCAAGGTACATTTGTGGCACGTTTATCTTTGCTTCGTCACCGTTAACTGTAGCGATACATGCAGACAGAGTTTTGTTCAAAGCGAGTATACTAAGTAATCGTGTTGTAATCTTCGGATGAAATCATAGATATAGAAAAAAGTTGAAATTAAAGAGTTTAGGGCAGAAGTTGTTTTTTAAGTTATCGTAGATGTATCTGCGCCGAATTTGCCACACACGGTGGGTCTGGCTCTTTGTCCGTCCACACTAAACGACCGCTTTTCAGTTTATACTTCCTAGTATAAACTGAACAGCGGTTGTTTAGTGTGGACTAGTTCCTACTAGTAAGTATTGCTAACATAATTTGAGGTAATATTATATTAAGAGAAAACAGCTATTTCTAGTCTACTTGCCGAACGCACTTACACTTCGCACATTTTTTTTTGCGTGAGCATAAAAAAGTTTCTTACGTTTATTTTCTATTAAAAAATGTCATGTTATGTGATTAATACCTACTTACACCTTTTTCAAAATAAGAAGATGCCTGTGGCGTTTAGTTTAATGTCAGTTAATAACGGTTTACCTATAGCAAAACAGTCATGTTAAAATCTCGAATTGATACAAATTGCTTTCTTGAGCTGATCTGTTATGATACTTAACAAAACAGTTTGTTATGGCACTTACAAAGTATTCAGATTTTGTATTTATTTCTCCTACTATGTAGTTAGTTATTACTGTTTTATTTCATCTCTTCCAATCACAAATACAGATAAAATTTGTGCCCTCATATAATGGTTTGATTTTGCGATACAACAATCATAGTTGGGAACTTACAGTAGGTGAAAATGAGAATGACGTCAGCAGCACGCGCGCATCTCAACGTCTTCACCAACAGCGTCGACCACGCCGAATTTTTGCAATCTGCCATTTTTCCATATACTAAGAAATGCTGAATAATTGCTGACGTCATCAAATTTCACCCGCGTGTCATAGGAATTTGTTCGCGTCTGTTATATACTACGGGTACTGTGTGGTAAGGGTACGGGGCCAAATATGCAAGAATGCATAGGATCTAACACAATGAAATTTTAAAGACGGCGCACAAGCTAAAGTATACTTTAACATATGATTTGTGCAATTTAATTTTAGTACAGCTATAAATAGTGGTAGTAAAAAAGTGATTTGTAAAATGCTGAAAAAAAAAATGTTTTGTGATATAATTTTTTTACTTACATTTTGTTTTTCATTAGTACGGTTCTTTAGTGTACTACTTTTAAATGGTTACATATTTATAAAAGAGGTGCCTTTATATTACTTTTAGGGGATTACTCTTGTTACATAATATTATGTATTGCACAGTTTTTTTACAAAAGCACGAGATAAAAATATGATCCCGATCAGATCAACTTGTTGTAAAGGGAGAAAATAAAAAAGACTTCGTCAAAACGTAGATTTTAAATTTAAAGTTTTATAGTAGCTGTATAATTTGTAAGTATATATATTTTTTTATATTAAACATTGATGTGTTTTCTTTTACAGTAGTAAACTACTGTGCGAGTTGGACGACGACCCGAGCGACGACGTATTCTGACGCCCAGCCACTGCCCGCCGTCGTGCTTTTCTCCGTAAAGGTTACACGCAGCTTTAAAGGCAATGCGTAGACGCCGCGCACCCCTAGCCAACGCTCTCTTAATCTTAGGATTGTTTGACTTGTAACAACTTCATTTGATAATATATTTATTAAATTTAGTACCTATATACGTAAGGTCCATGGTTATCTATCAATAGTCCGAAATTACATTTTCCAGAAATAACGTTTGCTTTAATTTTCATTACTTCGAAAGTAATTTTGGGAGGAAAATGTTTTTCTTTAAACCTAACTTAACCTAACCTAACCTAACCGAACCTAATCGTATCTTTGCGGTAAACGTCCAACCTATCCTGAAAGAACAATGGTTTCGTTATAGTTCGGTTTTTGGTGTATTGAAAATTCGAACAAACGCTATTTTGGAAAAAAAAAAATCGAGTTTGTGATAGATTACCAAGGTCCATAATCAAACAAAGAAAATCGTAGAAGAGCAGTATTTAAGTAACCTATTATAATGTTTAATTATTTAAGCTGATGGGATTGTGAATATCAAGATAGCGTAACATTATTAGCTATTGACACATTGCTCTCACTTCTCTTTCGTAGATAATAAGCGTCACAAAGACACTTAGTTTTCTTGGTCTACGGAACTTGTTATGCTTAGACATTTGAAATTTCGTTTTCAAAGCGAGTGCGCTCTTCTATGATGATGATAACTGACGTTACTGTGCTGTTGTTACTGATGCTTGAAACTGGCATTTTCACATTAGAAAAATTGTTGTAGATAATAGAACTATTTAAACTATTTCCATTACACGAGTTTGCTATGCAAAGTGGGGTGCTAAAGCGCGTTTTTTCAATTGAAACAGTATTAAATATTTATGAATTTTGGCGGGCTAGGCTTTTGCTTAAGAACATTCAAGAAAACTTGTAAAAATATAAAAAAATGCGTCTCTTTATCTAAAACTGAGCTATGCCGGATAGGTTATAAGGACTTTGACATATTTGCTTGTAAAAAGTGTCACAAATGTCGTTTGCTATTCTTTATCTTGTAAGGAACATAGATAAGAACAATAATCATATCGATTGGTGATTGTAGTTAAATACAGATTAGTCAGTATTTTAAAATTATTGCAACTTTATCTAATTTGTCGGGTGATTCTTGGGAAATATTTACGTATTGCAATTATTCCTATCTGCTACTTCAAACTATAACGATCACCAAATTAATTGATGTGATGATTCATAATAATAGATAAATAAATAATTTATTGATAATATTTAATCATTATTATTAAATAATGATTAATATTAATATGGCTTTATTATGTGTAATATTTAGTTATAGTTTTTTTTGGTACGCAAAATCAAATACAAACAAAATAATATTATGTACTTAGTACTTGTATTAGAAAGCAAATAATCATAACTCTACGACTTAATTTAAATTAATGTCAGTGTAATAATTTCATAGGACTATGAGAGTAATATGGGACTTCTTGTTGTTCGGCCTTAGTCCAAAATATGCCACTCTATTCTATCAGTATCTGGCCTTTAACAGGTCCAAACAAACTATAAGTACAAGAGTAACTATAGTTTTTTGGGGTTATTAATCAGAATACCAAATACTGGAATAAATTTTAAAAGTCTATTCTAGTGTAACCCAAAGTCTAAACATTAACCTGCCCAAATTAATCAAATACTATTTTCAAGTAGAAAATTGATATGTTAACCCATAAGAAAATTAGTAAATTTGTAATTTTAATTTTTTATTGAATTGATATTCAATTATTTTTATGTGAAATTACTCCACTAGTTGTTATAATTATTAACACAAAGATCGAACATTCAGAAAAACTTCCTTCGATCCGGCCGGATTCGAACCGACGTCTTGTAGCATACCGTGGCAGACGCTGTACCAACTAAGCCACGGAACGAACCAGCGGACCTCACGATTTTTTCTATGTGCTTGCGTCGTACGTATGTATTTGGTTTTTCAACGACTTTTTAGCCCTAGCACCATCTATATATTTCGTCACCCAGTTGACACCTTTACAACTACCAGACCCGGCTGGAGATATAAGCCCGGCTGCTAGAAGAGTCGGTTTTCGAACCGAACCAGATTCGTCCGGCCGAATCGAAGGAATTTTTTCGGAGTGCTCGATCTTTGTATTAATAATTGAAACAAGTTTATAATTTATTTAACAATTACCAAATAATGAGTCTCGGTTACTCGTAGTAGTGTAAGTAATTAGATTTAAAAAAGTTTCTAATAATCTAAATTCAATCACAGTTTAATATAAAAATAAATAGGTTTTGTACAATTCTGCTATTTTGTAATAATACATAAATGGTTACTGATGTTTTAAGTTAGCTTTGTTGGATATAACTACAATATTCATAAGCATTTATATCCCAGTTTAAAAATCGGTATTTTATTACATGAAACATGTTAATATTTGCTATATTTTATTATCAAATATTCACTTCAAATATAGATTTCTAGAGTCCATAGCGCCATCAAAAACGTCTTCCATACAGAGGTTGCCTTACTTTGAATCTGATGGGTATGATTCTAAAGGTCGATATAAATTGTTTAAAAATGTAAAAGGAGGCCTCTGTGTGTTAGACCATTGCTTATGCATGGAAGCCATTCAAAGCACTGAACCGTTTTGGCCTGACAGAACCTAGTTTCTTTATTTGTATCATGCGCTTAATTTACAATAAAGCCCTAACTCTTGTGTTATTAAAAATTGTTTAACATCCATCATGGACCAAAACGGAGCTAACAACACAAATGTTTCGGCAATCAAGTAGTACATAATATTATAATCCACTTCTGTACTCTACATTACTTGCAAGTAATTTGTTAAAACGTCAGTGGGTGCCTGTGAATTACAACTATCATCACTTTTTGAAAGACATTTAAAAAAGTCGGCCTCAATCGGAAGTTTCGGGAGGATACAGGACTGACTTTATTGATGTATCTTCGGGAATTCCGCAAGGTCCCACCTTGGACTATTATTCTACAATGTGTACATATTTGACATATACTAATGTAAATCGCATTCGAGACGCTCACTATATGCATATGATAAAAAGATGCAAATAAAAACTTCATCTGTTACAGAATGCGCACTTTTCCAACAAGATTTAAACAATCTTCATAAATATTACATTGATAACATTACCGTAAAAATCAACAAGTGTCAATGCATTAGTTTCATACTTAAGAGCAAACCACTTATTTTTCCCTATGATTTTAATGGTGTCGTGATTGGTAGGGTTAACGAAGTCCGAGACGTTGGTGTCCAACTTAAACCAAATTAACCCAAAATACCAAATTAAAAGACGCACGTTGCAAGTGAGGCTTCATACTTGACGTTGTCTTTTAATTTGGTCGCATATTACTTATTTGACAATTATTTTTTCGGACGGACGTCAGACGGAGAACGAGAGTAGACCCCCTGCTCGATTCCAAAATGGCCATGTCCGGCCACGTGGATGCGATAAGTTGGCAAGGCGTACCGTAATTTAGTGTTTATGATGCGCACATGTCAACCCTTCTAGAACTCGACTAGTTTAAAAGTAGTATATTTCGCTTTCGTTATATGTATATTAGAATATATCTGTTCGATTTGGTCACATCACCTTGATCGTATTCAGATAAAAATGTGATCGTACTTAAACTTTAAATTTTCTAGAACAGATGGGTTCTTTTTGACATTGAGTGATTGCCCTGAAATCCTGTCAAAGATCTCGCTGTCCAGGTCGAAGCGCCGGCCCAAGCATTCACCGCAATTCTGTTCCTATTTATTGCACTAGTTATGGCATGAATATTCTCTTTACGCGCATTATGTCTACTTTTAATCAAAAATTTTATGCACTGGATATGGTAGTAGGATCTAAGCTCACCTTTAGAAAGAAGTTGGAAACAGTCTTATTTGAAAATAACTTCATTGATATTATAAAAAAACTTATTTGAAAATAAGTGAAATTTGAATACAGTGCTTATAAAATTGCGTGCATTAAAATAAAAATGTTAATTAATAAACACAAAACATGAAAAATAATCCAATTTGTAAGTGATGGACTCTCACTCGTCACTTACAAATTGGATTATTTCATTTTTATTTTAATGCATGTTATTGTCAAGTTAAGTCAGGATTGCACTTACTTCACGTCGCTTTACTCATTTTACTATGCTTCACAATGTAGGTAGATGTTTGCTTTTTCTTTTTGATGTGTTAATTTTTACGATAATTTAGCTATATGATAATGAGAATATGGACAACTGTAATTGGCACTGGCTAGAATTACCTACAAGTTCCGAATAAAAGAAAATCAACTTAAAACAGGAACAGGACGCATTAACGGCAATAAATACAATAAGAGTATTATACAAACGTTAGAGATAGCATTTTGAGTTCACTCATTAATTAGTGCTTTTATATAATATACTAATAATGCCTACACTACTTGCTGACTTTCCAACCATGATTCAGTTTTTAATGGAAATCACCCAATTTGTAAGACAAACCCAACTAAAATGATTGTCTGAGATTTTTTACTGTGACAGGATGTTTAATCTTTATATACTTTCAACCTTTTGATGACATGGTGCTGTACCTTCCACAACTGATATAATTTAAGCAACCACACAATTTTTTTATAAGTGTGATAATTTATTCAGTAGGTGAATATAGATTTTAAAGTGTTACATTTTTACTATGTGTTATAAGTATACGTGTTGTGTCTATAAATCTGTGTACAATAGTCTTAAGTAGCAAAATGGTATATTTAAATTTAAATTGTACGCAGTAACATTACCTGTACATATAAATTATTGTATGCTCTTATCCTTGTGCCTCTGTTTTGGTGTTCAGGTGTCAAGTTGTAGAATAATACTTTGACAACTTGCGTCCAATTTAGTAGCCTATTAAAATAATGAAATTGTATGAAATACATCGTATTTATAAAAAAAGCAACTGAAACACCTGAAAATCACCCGTCTTTGTCAATGTCAAAGAACAATCATATCACGTTTCCCTTCCATTCAATTAGATTGTACGTTACTGATTCATGTAGTTCACTGAAAATAGAATACAATCAATGTCCATCAACTGTATTCGTTTAAATCTTTGAAGCGGTTGATTGACGTATTGGAAGCCGCAATGCTATAAATATATAATGAATACAATTAGTCTGATAGAAGGTCACGCTTTCACTTATAAATAACTAAGCTTTTAGTGGTTCTGTACGTGGGGTAATGGAGTGGCTGTAATGTTCATCCGACAGATGGCACCAAAATTAACCCGTCCGCATCGAGTATAAACCAGAAATAGAGACCAAATAAGTGCCATCTATCCCTGTCAACTCATCAGTCAAATGGTACTGATATCACTTTTAAATATCAAGTCTCGTTTGAGCTGAAATCATATATTAGAAAGCTGATATTACATCTAGTACATCGCCAACAACTGACCTATATTCCAAAAATATTCTGTATTTATTGTAATAAAGATAATAACTCTAACAATCGGAGCTATTCCACTCGGTGGTGTAGAAAAAACAGCAAAACATCTAATTACAAAGCAAACGGAATCACATTTCGG